GGGTCAGGCCTGTGGGCCTATAGGACATGTGGGTTACTGTGTGGGCTCCTTTAGGTAACCCACGCAGCCTGTGGGCGCTTCCTTAGGTAACCCACACAGCTTGTGGGGACTTTTTAGGTACCCCACACAGTCTGTGGGGATAGAACTGTGGCTTTTATGGGACATGTAGGAGATTCTGTGGGTTGCTGTAGGTACCCCGCAGCATGTGGGAATAGAGCCTAGGATCCCATAGGACAAGTACGACATTGTGCAGGTTGCTGTAGGGATGCCACACACTCTAGGGGAGCACTCTGTGTTGCTACGTGGGACATATGTGGGGTCTATGGAAAGCCTGTGGATATGCAGCCTCAAGATATATCCTACAGAAGTCATGCAAAATGCAACCTTTTTGTAAGTTCTTTTTTATTGTTGTTGACATAGCTTACCCCAGTGCACAGATCACTACGCCGACGCGTCGACAATGCAGGGTTTTCTTCGAAATGGGGCTTCAAATGCTCGCACAATAATAAGTAATTATTAATGCGTGAGCATTAATAATTACTTATTAATTATTGAGCATTGAGCTTATGAACATTGCTCCAAAGTTGTTAGATTCGTGTTCTGTGCTCTGACCTTATCAGTCTTGTGTGTTCAGCAATCTAGTGAAAGGGTATATTGCCAAAATGCAGAGCAACATATGTGTATGTTTATAGGCAGCAAACAAATTAGATGCAGGACAGGACTTATTTGGACTTTTATTAAGTTTATTTTACAGATATCTTATGGACCACGAACAAAAGAGAAGCAGCTAGTATATTGACGAGTATACATGAACAAATGCAATCATTTTGCAACAGAATGGTGATTGGGTATAAAAGAAAATCATGTTTTAAAGTGACTCAATATGCAAAAGGGCAATAAGTCATGCTTTGGTGCATATATATATATATATATATATATATATATATGTTAAAGACATTGCATATTTACATGGTGGTGATAAAATATCAATCAAGCTCATATCTTCACCATATTCACAAAATACTACAAGTTTTTGTGCACTAAATGAGTGTTAAGGAGGCAAGGAGACATTAAAAGTGTAACTACAAATATGTATGGAAGTGCAACCGCATCAATGGCCAAGTGTGTTAGTGCACCACAGCTCGGACAATCAGGAGAGGAAGCTCGCACTGCAAAACCAATGGATTTCATGCTCTGTCTTTACCTGACATTGAAACTGTAATTAACAGTCGACTTTCTTTCTATAAATTGGCCAAATTCATTTAAAAAGAAGCCGGGATGAATGCAAATGTTTGCTTATCCTAGCCCTGTACCACGACCACCTATATGGTGGCCTGCATTGTATAAAATAGTCCAAATTTTAGTTTGATAGCTTCTGCAAACAATGCACATCCATGTATGCTCAGAGTTTGAAGGGGCTGTGCAACAATGTTCGGGCTTCAACCAAATATTAGCGAGACATAGTTTCCATCCCTTCTAGAATTGGCAAACAGAAAACCATTTTTCCGTACATGTGCTTGCTCTTATTTAAAAAAATAAATAAAAAGTAGACATGCTCACGGGTGCGCACCTCTCAATCACTCTCAACTTAAGCCAACAGCCAATTGAGCCAACTTCTTGTGCATCATGAAGCGTGCAAGAAAAGATCGAACAAATAATACCAAACTTTTCACCAGGACTACGACGGTGTCATTACATTTTTGAGCACGTGTGTATTGAGACGAGCGGTACACAACACCTCGAGCAATGAATCTTGAATAGACACAAAGACAAGGAGGCGCAGCACCAAGAGTAGAGATATTGCACCTTTTCTCGACACTGCTGAAATTGGATGGCTGCGCATTGCCCAAAACAGTTACGCCAGAGATTTTGTCCCCAAAGTGGCACCTTTTCTCTTCTTTGAAAAATGTGTCTTTTTCATTAGATCAGTTCCTTTAGTCAAGACAAAGAAATGTATAGACTGTTTAAAGGGGCACTTACACCCCAAGGGTCGTATTCTTTTTTATTTTCCAAAACCTGACACCCCAAGGGTCGTAATTTTTTATTTTCCAAAACAATTCAAGTTGGAGTCATAGACACGCAAAAAAAATGCATCGGGAAAAACATTTTCTGACGCGCGCGCCTTTTTATTTTTGGTGCCCTCCTTTCCCGCTCTTCGCCTCCTCGCTTCTTTTGATTTGTGACCTCAAAAATCATGAAGTTTAGAAGCTTTGTGGGCGAAATTTCTATAACATTTAATAACGGCAATCGTAAAACGTGTTTTTTAATGCAATTGCAAACGCACTACGGCCCTTTTTTTTAAATACCAAAGATTGGAGTCCGGTGTGATGTCGCCTTCCAGAATTGTATCCTCCCTCGGAAAACATGCTGCCTGGGCAGGCGGCACCGCCCCCTGCATGAAATAAAACTGTTTTTCTCGGTCCACCGGCGCCCTCATCTCCCGCCTCCTTTCCTCTTTGCATCGGGTTGCGATGGCAACAGCATGGAGTCGTGAAGAAAGTCGACTCTCAGGAATCCGGAATATTTACGTCAACGCACCGGCGCGGATCGCGCGGGAACTTCGAATTCGGCATTTGGAAATTGCTTTAAAAAAATCTCTACATCACAAATAAAAAAAAATTAAGTTTTGACGTGTCAGTGCCTCTTTAAGTATGGCCTTCTGTAAATCCTGCATTGCTATTCCACGGTTTCCTTTGATGTAAAAAGGAAGAATGGGTCCACAAAGGCTCCCAATGCAAGACATTCTTTGTTAGGTACTGGAACAACTGAACATTGAAGACCATGTTAATGTCTCCATAGAGCATGTTGTATTTTATCATAAATTCAGTTAACAAAATATGAGCTGTGTTAATGTCATATTTTGTGAGTGTGTCATGAACGAGGTAATAAATAGAGTATACAAGAAGAGCCAGGTGGCCAAGAAAAGGCTCGGGCGAAATCCCGCAGAGTATCGGCGGCGGATAGTACAGAAGCCACGAATGATACTACCGCGCCTTCCAGAGTTTTCGTTCGCTCACTCCCCAGGGAAACGTGCCCAGCTTGGATATTGGCTCGATGGCTTTCATCATACAGTCCACCAACCTCACAGTTGCTGGTTCACCTAGATAGAACGCCTCCCCACTGTTGCTGTCAAACCACAAGTTCAAAAGTGACCGAGAAACACCGAGGAGGACTGCATGCATATAGTAGTCGGGAACAAAAGACTCAATAACGCTAAAAGACTGCATGTTGAGCAACGGAAAGGGGTCTTTAAAACCTCTACAGATAACACCTCCTGACGCAGCTTCGTACATGTCAGGGGTTCCACAAGAAACGTTGATGAGAAAAGAGCAAATGGCCCTTCTTCAAATTTTGCACCATCTATAAGTGGCATTTCAAAACGAAGCGCAGGCTCTCCATCTGCTACAAATGCCACATCAACAGTGTATAGACCTTTGGATCCCTGCCACTGTTCCGATGCTACACATAAAATGCTTTTCGTTTTCGGCTTGCTCCTCTACAAACACAGAAGCATGGGGTGTGATAACAAAGACACAGTGAGCAAAAATAAATTTAGGAAAGACAGAGAAGGTCAAAGAAAAAAGACAGTTTTCCCTCTTCCAGCAGAACTCTCGATAAAGAGAACCGACATGCCGCAACTTTCCCCCCCAACAACTGGTGTCAAGGAGAAAAACATAAAAGCGACACGAGATTAAACATTTATAGGACGGTGAAGGGTGACCCAAAGAGGTTTAATAAGCAGACTCATTCACTCTTGCAAAAAATGTAGTTGTGGGGAAGGGAGAGGCGAAGGCCAGAAATTGCAAAGGTGGCAAACGAAAAGAGACACATATTCACGCACAGATAATTTACAAGCTCTGAGAAGGACTAATGAAGTTAGCCTCACATGCAAATAATAGCTCATACAAAATATAACTGACAAATTGTTGCTGTTTTGAGTGACGACGGTTCGAGGCAGCTTTAAAGGGTACTGAAACGAAAATTTAAATCTAGCCATTTCGTCCAGAAAAAGGTTAAATGTGATCACTTATACCTGTCGATGACAATGGCAGGTTTGTGTTTTGAGTGAATTGGTTTATTTTTCGTTCCAAACAGCACATTTTGGCTGGCGCTCGACGAGCTGTGGTCGAAAAGCGCAATGCATGTTGGGATGCGTGGCAATATTTGTGATGCCACAGCCCGGAATACGGGCAAGGCTACCTGGAAAACGTACGGTGACCATTGTAATAATATTGTTTTGTAAGTCCGAATAAACGGGGCAAGTAGGGGGACAAAAGAGGAAGAAGAGGACACAGCGCCCAGGGGATCTCAAAACGTTCTACACGTAGTGTTGCTTGTTACCCGGTACGACCGGTACAATCAGGTAAATACTACCACATGGTGTCAGAAGTGCTCCGGAAATGGAAGCTTCATCGAACTCGGAGAACGTAACGGCCCCAACAACAGTGCTAGCAACGGGTTTCACGGCGCCGGCAGCCTTTGATTTCAAGCGCCCAGAAGAATGGCCAAGGTGGATCACCCGTTTTAACAGGTACCGTAGAGTTTCGAAACTCGATAAAGAAGACGAAGGATCGCAAGTAGACGCATTAATCTACTTTCTCGGTGAGGACGCGGAAGACATTTTGTCCGCCTCGGCTTTGACCGACACCGAACAGCGACAGTTCGAAGCAGTTGCCCAACTCTTCGAAAGCCACTTCGTCGGCAAGAGAAACGTTATCTACGAACGGGCCAAATTCCACCAGAAGAAACAAGAGCCGGGTGAATCTGTTGAGAGCTTCATGACTAGCCTGCATCGCCTAGTAACACATTGCGGTTACGGCGCGTTGAAAGAAGAACTCGTCCGCGATCGTTTTGTCGTTGGATTGCAAGATTCTTCGCTCTCAGAAAAACTTCAAAGCGACCCAAATCTGACACTGGAAGCTGCGTACACTCGAGCTCGACAGAAAGAAGCCGTGCATCGACAGCAAGCCGTCGTCAGAGGCGAGTCCCAAGCAGAAGACATGACGCTGGATGCCCTCCACAAAAGAATGTCAGCAAAAGAGAAAGGCGCAAAGCGGCGAGAATACACGCCGAAAAACGCTGAAAATAATGCGGCTAGAACACAGACGTGTGGAAGATGTGGCAACAGTGCACACGAAAAGTCCAAGTGCCCCGCAGCGGGATCAATCTGTCGCAACTGCGGAAAAAAAGGTCACTGGCAGCAAGTTTGCTTTGAGAAGCTTAGGAATGAGGGCAAGAGCACCCTAAAAGAGGTGACTCTACAGGACCCAAATGAAGCGCCAAACTGGATGATTGGAAGCATCCGCGCAGCTGAAGGAAGTGCGTGGAAAGTCAAACTGCGAGTCAACGGAACGCCTGCTACGTTCAAGATAGATTCTGGTGCAGACGTCAGTGCCATGCCTCCAAACACTGTCCCAAGCAAGGTGACCCTTGAGGAGACAGCTGCCAAGCTCTACGGTGCGAAAAGGCAGCAACTCGAAGTGTTGGGCAAGTTTCAAGCGACAATACAACATAACAATAAATCTATACAGCACGTGATCTACGTAGTGAACGGCCTGGAAGAGCCTCTTTTGGGAAGAAAAGCCAGCAGCGAATTGGAGCTGATCCAACTTCTGTGCACAGTCTCGGACCAAACAGCCAAGAGGTACCATGAACAATACCCTGAGTTGTTCCAAGGTCTCGGAGAAATGGCAGGAGAGTACAAAATCAAACTCTCGATAAAACATATAAAATAGCGCAACAGAAACAAGGACAAGAAGTAAACAGGACAGGTACCTTACCAAACTCTCGAAAGACGCCACGCCAGTCTCCGTCCACACATAACGGCGTGTACCCCTGGCACTGATGACGAAAGTACAAGAGCAGCTGGCAAGCATGCAGAAAGATCGAATCATAAGGAAAGTTGAAGAGCCTACACCATGGTGTTCTGCAATGGTTGTTGTGCCCAAGCCGAACGGAGAAGTACGGATCTGCGTGGATTTGACGCACCTCAACAAGAACATAGAACGCGAAAAGCTAGTTTTGCCCTCTGTCGTAGAAACACTGGGACGGTTGTCACGCACATCACTATACACAAAACTAGACGCCAAGTCCGGATTTTGGCAAATTCGGTTGGCAGAAGAGTCACAAACTATGACTACCTTTATCACACCTTTTGGCAGATTTTGTTTTCAACGATTGCCGTTTGGAATTTCTTCCGCCCCAGAGTATTTTCAACGAAGGATGAACGAGATCCTGGAAGGAATCCCAGGAGTCCTATGCCATATGGACGACATCCTGATCACTGGTGCCAACGAGAAAGAGCATGATGAGAGGCTAGAGGAAGTCCTTAAGAGGTTGAAAGCAGCAGGTGTCCGACTCAACGACAAATGCGATTTCAAGCAAAAGTCCATAAAGTTCTTGGGACACATCGTCAGCCAGGACGGGATCAAGCCAGACCCACAAAGGGTCACAGCCATCTCCAATATGCCAGCGCCAACGACAGTGACCGAGGTGAGACAATTCATCGGAATGGCAAACCAAGTAGGACGCTTCATCCCCCATCTTTCCGAAAAATTGAAGCCTCTGCGTGACCTTCTCAAAAAGGCAAGCGAGTGGACGTGGGACACTGCACAGAAAATAGCATTCAATGCAGTGAAGAAGGACATCCAGGAGGCAACAGCCCTAACACTGTATGATCCGCAACAAGAAATTATTGTTTCAGCAGATGCTTCGTCTTACGGTTTGGGGGCAGTGCTACTACAAAAGGACAAGAACGGAAACATTCGACCAGTAGCCTTCGCTTCGAAAGGACTGAGTACCACAGAAACAAAATACGCACAGATTGAGAAAGAAGCGTACGCCGTGACTTGGGCATGTGAACGATTCGAGAAGTTCCTGCTAGGAACGCAGTTTCACATCCAAACAGATCATCGTCCACTCGTACCTCTTCTTGGGTCCAAAGAACTGAATGCAATTCCAGCCAGAGTTCAGCGATTCAAACTGCGGCTGATGAGATTCTGCTACACAATCTCACACGTGCCTGGAAAAGAACTCTGGACGGCCGATGCCCTGTCAAGGTCACCTGTTGAACCTCCAGACAATATGGAAGAAGAAACCGAGGCTTTTGTGCAAATCGTCCTTTAGTCAGTCCCTGCATCCCGAGAGTACCTGATCGAGGTAAAGAAGATGCAAGAGGCCGACCCCGTCTGTACTAAAGTGAGGGAGTACTGTGAAAAAGGGTGGCCAACTAGCAAGCAGCAAGTGCCAATCGAGATCACCCCATATTTCCAAGAAAGACACAACCTCACGGTACAAGAAAACCTACTCGTGAGAGGCAACCGCCTTGTGATACCAAGTCAAATGAGGAAGCAAGTCTTGCACCGACTGCACGATGGCCATCAGGGTATCTCGAGATGCCGGCAACGAGCCAAGATGTCAGTTTGGTGGCCAGGACTAAGCTCTCAGATGGCTGATGTTGTCACAAACTGTCTCAGCTGCGCACACGAGCGGGTACCAAAAACACAGCCGATGATCCCGTCTGAGCTACCAGAGAGACCATGGCAACGAGTTGGGACCGATTTGTTCGAGTTGAAAGGAGCCCAATATTTGCTCGTCGTAGACTACTACTCGAGGTACGTGGAAATAACCAGACTGAGACAAACCACTTCAGAAGCAGTCATATCACATCTCAAGGCTCTATTTTCACGCCACGGAATACCTGAGGTTCTGCGGTCAGACAACGGTCCACAATTCAGCTCCAAGCCATTCGAAGGCTTCTGTAAGGATTACAAGATCGAGCACGTTACAAGCAGTCCACGTTATCCGCAAAGTAACGGGGAAGCTGAAAGAATGGTCAAGATAGCCAAAGACATCATCAAGAAGTCTGAAGATCCCGAGCTTGGATTACTGGTCTACAGAACAACACCAGGACCTTCTGGATACAGTCCGGCACAGCTTCTGATGGGAAGGCAGTTGCGAACCACACTGCCAGTATTGGCTTCTACACTCTTGCCAAGACTGCCCAACCGTGAGGAGTTCCGGAAGAAGGATCGAGAAGAAAAAAATAAGCAAGCGGAAAACTACGACAAGAGACACGGAGTGTGCCGAAAACAGGAGTTAGATATCGGCAGCGAGGTATGAGTAAGAGACAGCAAAGCAACTGGAAAAATTACGGGCAAGAGACCAGAACCTCGATCCTACACTATAAGGACAAGGTCAGGATATCTCCGCCGGAATACACATCACCTGGTTCCAACCAAACCCAAACCAACCGACCAAACACATCCTGAAGCAAGCACACCAGAATTCAGTGTTCCTCCTACAGAAGAAAACAACCCAAAGACCCGGTCCGGACGGACCATAAGAAAACCAAAAAGATTTGGCGAATGTCTTTTGCGTGGGAAAAAGAGATGTAATAATATTGTTTTGTAAGTCCGAATAAACGGGGCAAGTAGGGGGACAAAGGAGGAAGAAGAGGACACAGCGCCCAGGGGATCTCAAAACGTTCTACACGTAGTGTTGCTTGTTACCCGGTACGACCGGTACAATCAGGTAAATACTACCACAACCATCACCAACAGCGGCAACGCGGGACGATCCAAATTATTTGGGCACCGGCGCACTCCTCGCTCCCAGGCAACGAGGCGGCTCACACGGTAGCTCGAGGTCTTACACGCCGAGCCAGTGAGCCCGCCCAACCGGGAACGCGAGGAGACCGGATGACCACCTATCTAGAAATCACGAATCACTATCGACTGGGGCGGGCCCGGTACCCACCAGCTCAACCTGAACTCACTACGAAGCAGGCGGTGGCCTGGCGCCTCCTCCAAACCAACATGTAACCGAACCCAGTAGCCTGTAGCCGGTTCTATCCGGGACAATTTGAAAATACGTGCAAATGCTGTAAGGAGAAGGCGGATTTGCCACATATCATATGGGCATGCTCTCAGACGGCACCGACCATTGATGACCGCAAAATCCAAGACCGCGAGCACTGGGAGGCCCTACTGCTCAGCTCAGACCCACAAGATCAGGTCTCGGCCATCCGGCTAGCCGAAGAAGCCGCCGAGGTGCAGGGGATCTCGGCCGTCTTCTAGGACAGCGCTGGATAAGAGGGCTGCACCCGTCAGCCCACTCACAGTGCTGGGACAATAAAGTTTTATTCTCTCTCTTCTGGAGACTGGCATGATAATCACGTTTGGCACACGAGGCCATCAGCGCGTTGCAACTCAGCCGTTTGAGATGTCCGAGGTTTGCGGGAAGCTCTCAAGAAACCTCGTTGCAGCGAGAGCTCCATTGGCTACACTGACCCGTGGCCCAGTCCAGTTAACCAGTTGGAGCGTGTGTGTGTTTGTGTGTGTGTGCGTTGTGCATTTCTGCAATCTGAATCCCCCGTTGTGGCGTGTGGTGTTCTCGTGTTTTGTGTTGGTGTGCGATGTGACGTCCATGCGCTCGATCCAGCAAGTCTATGCAAGACAGTGCAAGGATGGCTCTCCGAAGAAGCGATAGGCCTAACGAACGGGACAAACGCCGGACTCGCTTGCGCGGGGATCCGAAAAAAGCCTGAAGTTCAGTGACGTGCGTAGCGTAAACTGGAATTATAGACGGCCCCATACATAAGCTAAGTGTGATCTTGCGCTAGTCATGCATATTGGCAGTTGTTCCCGCTAGTGTCAGTCTCACCAGCGCGGCTGTACTTGAGTACTTTCTTCCGTGAAGGTAAGCCATAAAAACATGATTGAAGCCCGAACTAGTTAAGGCTTGTTCACACACTTGAAACCGAGTACGACCGAGAGGGACAAGACCGGTTTGTAAGCCTCTTTCGACGTCTTAGGACCGGATGCGCTGCTGCGGAGCTGGTCCTAAGACGTCGCAAGAGGCTTAAAAACCAGTCTTGTCTCTTTTGGTCGTAGTCGGTCACAAGTATGTGAGCGATGCATAAGGGTCGTCCCTGAAACTGCGAAAACATGGTGTTTGGTGATTGCACTCAGCCGCTCAGCACGACAACCAGCTGCCAATTTTCTATTCTCGTTCAGTGACGTTGGTGTGACGTTTAGTGAAAAACAAAGCTTTTTTGTGCAAATGATCCCCATCCTCTGCTTGTTTTCGAGCATATCACGACGCAGCTAACTACGCACAACTGCATGAAATGACGGCTTTATTTTCTTTCTTGACAACATGCTAGTTACACAATTTGGCCACATAAATGGCGTACAAAAACGGCGTACCATAACGATACCCGATAACGAAGAGACGCATGTTCGAGAGCGTCGGCAAAGTACCAGGTATCGTTATCGGAACAGTTTACTAAAACTTTCCGATGTCAGTGCCACAAATCGCTGAGGTTTTTTTTTTTTTCTTTTTTTCTTAACATTTCTTGTTTTGTTGTTTTTATACATTCCTCCTGTGTGGGTGGTATGTCGGGGAATGCCGCGTATCCCGAAAAGAAGCGATTGGGGACTGGCTCATTATCTCCACTCCGCCTTCTGTACGCGTCATACCGAGAACCGAAGGCTTGCTGTGTGTGTATTCTGTTGGACCATGCCGAATGTTACGAAGGAAAGCTTGCCGCGCCCTGGTTTTGTTTACGTTAAAGCCGCTTTGTGTGGGCGTCGCACCCTGAACCGAAGGTTTGTTTTGTTTGTGTTAGGTTTGTGGTCGGTCGCGTCATGCGGGGATGCCGAAGGGAAACGGTCGGAAGTCCGGCTCGTGAAAGGCCGCTTTCTGTACGCGTTCAACCGAGGGCACCGGGTGA